TGGCGCTCCTCCGGATGAATTATCTTTGTCGTAGTCCGGATCCGGACGAAAGGCAGAAAGACTTTGCGATACTCCACCAGGCAATGGAAGGCATTGTAACTGCATTACATGATGTTGATACCCACTTGGGTATGTAATCTTTGCTTGAATGGTCTCTGATGGTCAGCTCACCGGTCGCCTAGTGCTTCGTCCGAGCCTTATTCGAAGACTCATGAGACTCGAAAAGCAACTGAAGATACCTGAAGAAGATCGTTGTACTCTATCTGGCGAATTGCGGACGGCCGAGACAATAGAGTTCTCTGCTGAAAGAATCACGAAAACAGACAAGAGCCTTAAGCTTGATGCCCAGGGACGACCTATCAATGATACCGTGACTGGCCTTCGCACGTACTTCTCGCCCAACCCAAAAGTCGCCAATGCCTTGGCCAACGGGACAACATCTACTGACACGGTTGATGAGAAAGGCCTACTAGTAAGATATTTTGAGAACGTCTTGATTTCTCTTTCGACTTATCTATTATAGGCTAAGGTTCTTCAAGGAAGGAGATGGAAGGGGAAATCATTGTGGAGAGGTCGCAACGGCGAGGAGGTGAACGTTGAATGTAGGGCCCTTCAATACTACGAAACTTTGGGGTTTAAGGGGTATGACTTTGCAAAGAGCCTCCATTTCTATTTCGTCTCACGATCGTTGTTTCAGCTTTCATTCTGAGACGAGGATCCTCACCACTCTCTTCTCTCTTCTCTTTTGGGATATCATTTTTGCCGACGTACCTGGGGCCTTTGAGACGGCGTACCAAACCGCACCGTTGGATCTCATGGAGGATTCCTTCTACCGTGCGCGGAAGGATCTTATTGATACGAGGTTGGAGGAAATCAGGCAAGGTCGGAGCCAAGAGATTGTCAAGCGTCACGACGACCTCTATAGGCCAAAGAGTACTTGGTGTGTCGGGGTCCGTTGGGACATCTGTACGCAAGAGGATTTGCTTGAGATTCTCAAGGTAAGCGATTAAATGTTCTGAACTTGCATGTGTGGTGATAGCTTTTTAGTGTTTGGGAGGCAATCCGCTAGCGACTATTTGTCAGTTATTCTGTGAGGATTATGGAGGTCGCAGCAGTGGTGTCCCTGATCTCATTGTGTGGGACAATGAGAAGGGGATTTGCAAATTTGTAGAAGTCAAAGGTCCCGGGGATACTCCACAAGAGAACCAAAAAGTAGAGAAAATATCGTGATTTTGCACCCTCAGGGAAACTGAACGTTCTTTCGTAGCTTTGGTTCCACTCCCTGCTGAGCGCAGGTGCCAATGTTGAGATATGCAAAGTTCTCGATAAGGACCAGCCGCCAAAGTCATCCAAGAAGAAATCAACGACTCGAAAGGCGAAACGAAAACGACAGGAAGATGTTATTTCGGAGCCAGAGATAGATTTCGACTCCCTTGATCACGATGACGCACTGGACAATGAGCCGTACGAGTCCCCTCACAACCTGAGAAAACGACAACGGCTATCAGACGAGAATGCTGATGTGTTAGCATCCATTCCTCATCCTACCCCTCCAGCTTCTTCCCCCAGTGGATCTGCTACACGACGACATAATTGCGTCGAAGTTGTAATCCCTCCTTCACCTTACAGAAAACGTAAGGTGATCCATACGCCCTCGTAAGGTGGGCGCATGTATCTCCTTTCAAATTATTATTATGTAGTTGTATCTCATGTTTTGCATATTGTTATTTCATTCTGCTCTATCTAGGTTACACCGTGTATTTCATTTCGATCTTGGTTGTACTTTTGCACTGCCCTGCGGCTTGTTTGATTAGGTATCTTTTCGTTACATGTCTTCAGCAGAACCGGTTATCTTTACTCTTTTCGCCTAGACTCCCGCCTATGCGATCATCGTAAGGTATTCCAGCGCTCTATTCCTGAATAGAAGTGAGGATACTCTGCAGCGTCTCTACGGATAATTCATTTTCATCAATGTTATGACGGGTCATCTCACGAAACTGTCCAGGCGAAAGGTAGTTACTCTCTACCTCCCCGTTCACATCTTGAGGAAGGAATCTCTCCAATCGTTCAGAGACCCAGCGTATGGTTGGGCGTTTCTTAGGATCCGCAGCCCAGCAAGCTTCCATCAAAGCCCAAATTTCCTCCGTCAATCCCCAGACACTCCAGCTAGAGCTCGAGTCAGGAGGGCGCCTTGGACGTTGTCCGCTCAAGACTTTGGTCGTAACAGCGACGTTACGAATCAAATGAGCAAACGGCAACTGGTCTGCAAAGATCTAGGATTTGATTATATGTTGCAATTAGGATACAGTTATGCGTTGAAAGGAAGGCGTACCTCATACGCTACACATGACCAAGCATAGATGTCGCTAGCAGTCGTGTTGTGTATCCCCTCATCGCCTTCGGGATCAAGGATCTCGGGAGCTTGCCATCTCGCCGTTCCGCCTTTGGAATACAAAGTTGCTTGAGAGGTCCACGTTAATATCTCTATGTCCGAAATCGATGAAAGTCCGAAGTCGGCAATACATGCTCTTCCAGACTCGTTGATGAGGATGTTTCCCTGGAAATGTCATATGAACATAGAAGTGTTATTTAATATACAAACAACTTACACCTTTAAGGTCACCGTGCACAATTGAATTTTCGTGGAGGAATTGCAAACCCTGAACCACATCAAATGCCTGGATATGGGATGAATGGCAGAGAAAGTCTCTACGATGAATTATGCCTCACCAATGCCACACGATTTGACTTCTTGTGATGCTTAAGGTATCCCTGGATATCACCATTGACCATCCATGGAGCCACAAGAGATGGCATGCCTTTGTAACGATATACACCGTAGAAAGGTAGGATATTTGGATGCCGCAGTTGCTCCCACAGTATAGCCTCTTTCCAAACGACCTGATTTAATGCGTTTCAGTATCCAGAAATATGCGATGCAAGTACTAATACACGCCTTGAAAAAATATTCCGATTGTAGTCGACTCTGTAGCCTGATCGTCTTCAAGCACACTGCTTGTCCACCAAGAACGCCTTTGTATATATCCGCAAACCCTCCAGAACCCTCCGGCATACCGGAACTTGTCACATTGTCCAACTCGTAACATGTGGGATACAGCCCAGATTTCTCCGCAAGCCGTTGTGCTGCTGCAATGAAATGCGGGCGGACGCTGGGCGAGAGATTGCCTGCGGTATCTAAAAGCTGAACAGGAGAGATGTCAATGTCAAGCAAATGTACCATGCGAAGGGTGAGCTACCCGCTGAAGCATATCAAGGAGGCGTTGAGCATTTGAACCTCGACATGCCAATATTTTTCGGTACTCTTTCTTGTTTTTACACATTTCCGCGAGCCTTTGGATCAATCTCTCCGTCTAGTAGGTATGACCACAATTAATATGTTAGTACTTGTGTGAAGCTTGTCTAAACTAACCTTCGTTGCCTCAACAGACGCGGGATTCGATTTACTGTCCTCGTCATGGGCATCTGCTGAAGTTGTACTAATATAGCTGGGTATGGTGTCGAGGGTGCTTTGAATTTCTCCAGCTGCCACAATCGGGGGCAGATTATCAGTGACTTGCGTCACCGAGTCTTCAAGATCCCGGTCTTGGTCGCCGTTGGTTGGCGCGCCTGCAGGCTCTTCGTTATCATTAGAATACGATCGAAGCGTTGCACCAGATGTAAAATGGGATGATTCACTAGCCAAGTCTCCGCTAGCATCCGTTGAGAAGCTCAAAAGAGGAGGCATGACATCAACCACCAGCGATTGGTCTGATTCTTTGGTGTTACTAGGAATGGCGGCAGGAAAATCTATCTCGGATGGAGGTAAGATGCCATTATTTTCGTCTCGTTCATCGGGAGACGTGACTTTCAACAGAGGAAGAAGGCCAGTTGAATCGTCACCATCTTCATGGCTCACGCTTGCCGGATCTATTGGTGAAGTTATGGTGCCCAGATGATCAACAGTGTCTCGGTCATTGACAGCAGAAGTAATGTTTTCAACGGAACGCTTCCCCCGGAAAGGCACGACGCGTAGATACTTGTCAGATTGAGGGGGAAGGTAGTCACTTGGCTCGACTGTAGGGGTGTCTGAAGGAGGGATGATGCGAACCATAGGAATGGGTAAACCACCGAGATCTTTTGGCGACTGGTGCCTGGACTCATAAGTCGTGAAATCTTCTGCTTCAACAGTGAAGGTTATTCCGAGAGGAGGTTTTATACGCAGATACCCGTCCGATTGAGGGGGATAGTAGTCACTCGGTCCTATGATAGGGGGGTCCGAAGGATTTGTGACAACTATTCGGATTTGAGGAATTGGCGAACCACCGACATTAGTAGGTCTGAGCGGCGGTTTTGGGCGTTCAGGAGGGTTCATTTTTTGTGTGACAGTAGAGGAGAGTGCCAAGGAAGATGGGACACGTAAATATTCATCCGATTGAGGGGGAAAGTAGTCCCTTGGGCCGATAGCTGGTAGATCTGCGGGAGGAGTGATAGACAAGATAGGAACAGGTAGACCATTGATGCTAGTTATAGATTCAGTGGACTTAATCATAGACTCAGTAGAAGCAGTTCTGGATCCAGTGGAGGCAGTCGATGTCGCGGTAAGTCGAGGCAATAGAACTGTAGATGCGCGCCGAATGACTGTACCCATACGGCGCGCCCATCTTGACTCGGAGGCTGAAAGAGTTATAGAAGACATCTGCGACTCTGCCCTCAGCCAGTCGCTACCATGAAGAAGGAATGTGAACAGGACATGACGCTGGAGACGCCGTCCGACTCTGATGCTCTGATGTGTTTAACCTGTGTAGTTTATACATAGGACAAAGCATTGCACAGCCGCCCGCCTTCTTTCTGCCGAACAGTTTAGATCGGTGCTCATGTAGCCTACTGATAGACACAATTCCAGCTTCAAACTTGCAAACTCGCTTGTCCTGATGTATAAGATGCTACCAAGCCGGAAAAAGATGTCAGTTTTTCGACAAAACACGCCCAAAAAGCTGTGACGACGCCAGCAGGATTTGAACCTGCGCCCTCAAAGAGGAACAGATGTCATGGTTAGCCGACATCGACGAATTTCCATTCTAATCTGTCGCCGTAACCACTTGGCTATAGCGCCTACAGGCCTGACATTGTGGGCCTCTTCCAGCAGCAGCTTGGACTTGTCAAAGCCTCGAGAACCAAATTTGAAGCTATGCTGGTGAATATGCAAATCTATGGAAGTACATACAATGATAGATGTGTGTGCAATGTATTAAAACAACGTTCTATGGAAGTCATGAAATGAGAGCTCGGAAAACAGAGGTTTAAAAATACAAAAGAATGGTCTTCGATCACCGTCCATCTGCGGGCGGAAGCTTTTTACGCAGGAAGCCCCGTCGTACAGAGAATACATGACCAAGGGCTCCATGACGTCTATTTCTGTTCGTGTTCTGGCCTGTCGTTGCGGCGAGATTACGGTCACTGGCCCGACGTTCAGACAGGTTCGTCTGTATGCGCTGCATTGCAACGCCACCTTCTTCAGTAGAGAAGTCGAACCCGCGATGCACCGACCGCGTGCCTGTAGACATGTCTGTCCTGCTCGCATTTCGTGGCTCGAACGATGGTCGGCTGGGGAGTTCCGATATAGAGCTCGCCCGCGACCGCGAAGTTTGTCGTGATTGTGTGTGTCGTGATTCTGATCTGCGAACAATTGGTCGCGCTGAGCTGGTCCTTGAGATGAAGGCATCCTTCGAAAAATCGCAGTGAGGGTCTTTTTTGTAAATGTAGCGCATGATGTCGATGTCGTCGGGAGCGAATCCAAACTTCCAGGCCTTGGCGAGATATCGTGGCGCGAGAGCGAGACAAACGGTGAGGGGTAAGCACAGCCAGAAGTAGGCTGATGGCCAGAGATAATGGTTGTAACCCCATAGTGGAGTGACAAACCAACCAGGGGAGATTGAGGCATACACAGCCTTTGAGATATCATGTGAGCGTTCATATGTTCGACGGAAGACGCGATGTTAACTTACGGTATAGATATAGACAAGGGCGATACCGATGAATATAGCAAAGAAGACCCAGCCAGTCCAAACGTTCGTGTTCAGACCGTTGAACAAGTTGGCAACAACGACAGCAGAGAACACCATTGTCTATCAACAAGCATAAGTTAAGGCACTGCTCCACACATCGAAAAGGGCGCTTACTGTCGAGAATTCGTACAAGGATATCTGCCATCCATCAGAGCGGGAAGTGGTCGTGAAGTAAGCGTAGAGAATAAGGAAGTAGATGATGACCGACTGCACATTGGTTCAATCAGCTATAGAGATCCTGTAGCAAAAATCTCGACCAACCTGTACGACACCATCAAACATGTAGATGGTAAACCATTTGAGACCAAACCATCGGCCTTCCCGTCCATATCCGTACAACTCTGGCAGGGCTATCAAAACATGGTCATCTGCACTATCATCAGCTCTTCTGAAATACTAATGAAAAGGACAGCAATACGTACCAACGATGCGGTCGAATATTCCCATAGCAATGACGGGTGCAATAGTCCAGAAGGAATTCCAGAAAATTAGGTAGGTATATTCAAAGACGTAAGTTGAGCTCCACCCGCAGTAGATTTGGAACCACCATAGAACACCGATACAGACGATGTTCTTGTAGAAAAAGTTCAAAATCCTGGAACAACTGTGGTGAGACGGGGACAGCTAAGGAGCGGAATAAAAGGACGTACATGTTTCCATTACGGGCATACGACCAATGGCCGTGTACCAGTAGTAGTCGTTTCAAGAAACGGAACTGCGCTATAGCATAGTCGGACGAATTTACAGCCTGTAGACCTTCCTCGCCTGAAATACCAACACCAACATCCGCTGCCTTTAGAGACGATAAGATATCTTCCTCCGCATTGGTCACAAGGATACTTACCTGGATCATGCTAACATCATTCGCACCATCACCGATAGCTAGCGTCATCACACCCAGCCCATCTCTGACCAGTTTCACAATTAAGGCTTTCTGGAGCGGAGACACCCTACAACATATCACGCCCTCGCATCGTGTCGCCAGCTTCAACAACAAGGCTTTGTTTTTTCCGCTTGACAATGCATATTCCAAAGCCCCGCCATCAATTACGAGCACGAAGCCACCAGGACGTTCACCGTTATTAGGCCCCACAATCGAGGAAAGGCCCGTCTCGATGCGACGCAGAGGGTATTCTCTGTCATCCATGCGGGAAGACGTCGACGGTCGTGGTAATGAGAAGGATGCACGGTTGTTAACAGGCTCGTCGGAAAGGAGATCGGCTTCAGGGAAGAACTCTTCAGCTGCGTTGACCATTTGTTCGTATACAGGACGCCCAGTTGCACTTCCTCGAATCACAATGATATTCGAATCGCGTCCGATGAGGTTCGTGCTATGACCGATGGCTACAGACCGACGCAGCGTCAGCAGGATGAACAAAATCAAAAAGAACACTGCACGCACCAATAGCAGTCTCAAGCTTGTCGCCAGTTGCTACCCAGACCTTGATTCCAGCGCGTTTGAGGTCCTCGATGGTCTCGGGAACACCATCCTGGAGCGAATCCTCAATAGCAGTAGCTCCAAGGAGCCTCAAATCTTGCTCCAGCTCGTCCGACACCGCCTCAATCCTTTCATCCCGATTCTCCATTGAAACGCTAGCATCATGATACCGTTCACTCCACGCCTCGTACTCTGCCTCGGGAATGACCTTATACGCAAGGGTAAGGGTCCTCAGCCCCTCGCTAGCAAACTCCCCCAAATGCCTCTCTGTCTCCTCGCGCCCCTCGCCCTCCCCTCCCTGCCTTAGGCGCTCAAAAATAACGTTATCGGCGCCCTTGCATAACAAAAACACTCGACCGTCCTCATCGTCAAGCTTCCGCAGCACAACGCTCATGCGCTTCCGCGCACTCGTGAACTCAAGGATATTCAAGAGGCGGTACTTCTCGATGTGCGAGCCCTCCCCGTCCTCGCTGAACGGCGTCTGCAGCGACAGCACGTCGATCTCGCGGCCGCGAAACACGTACCCCACGTCCGCTGCGGCCTGCACCAGCGCCGCCTCGTCGGGGCTTTGGGCTTTGTACTCGAGCGCACCGGTCTCCGGGTTCGTTCCTGTGAGCACGGTGTGGCATAGTGCGAGGACGGTGAAGAACCCGTTGAGCGCGCGTGCGCGTGCGGGATCGCCGTTGTGTGCTGCAAGTTCGAGGTCTTCGTTGAGTGAGTGCGACACGAAGCGATTGTCGCTACGGGGAGCGGGCAGGGTTAGCGGGTCAGGGGTGGCCGTGACTTCGGGTTGTTGCTCCTTTTCTTTGGGTGGTAAAGGCGTGGCAGCAGCAGCGGTTGAAGATGATGATGAACTGGACTTAGCATCCGGGGCTGGAGAGCTGGTCGTTGCTGGCGGCGTCCTGGACACGGGCTCTTCGGTGTCGGGGTCTCCTCGGTATATTTTTCCTGCGACAGAGCATTGGCGGAATATCATAGAGTTCTATAACGTTCGTCAGTCTCGATTGAAGGAAAATACTCTGTTTGACGCACCTGCGTCAGCGTCCCTGTCTTGTCCGAAAAAATATATTCTATCTGCCCTAGATCGTCTGAAAGATTCCAGGAGCGGGCGAGTGTAGGTTGTCCGGTCTTCTCGTAATAAATATCCGAGTCAAAGTAGATGAATGCAGCCTGGCAAGTCCGCACAAACTCAATGGAGATGTACAGCGAGATAGGGACGATGTTTTGGAAGCTAAAAGACTTATGGTCAATCCTTGACGTCATGAAAAGTAAAAAGCTCGTCGTACGTGATAAGTGCGAAAGCCCAGGTGATAAGACCATTGATAGATGGGTTGTCGCTTGACTGGTCATCGTCGAACAGCCAGAGTGCAGAGCGTGGGTAGTCACGATGCTCCAAAACCGAGTCAACCACACCGCATACAATAGCCATAATTGCAAGGATGATCAAGTTAATGAAGCTAAGTCACCGAAGATCAGTACTGGACCCTAAAAGGTCACAAGATGGATATGATAGACGTACACCTGTGGATTCATCTGTCTCTCCACTTTGCTCCGCTTGCTGGGCGTACCGCCCGAGTTCATGACGATGCGGGTGTCCTCTCCGGTGTACATGACGATGCCGATAACCCAATCTGTGTTCCTGAGAACGGTGCCTCGCAATAGCGTCATCTGCATATCTATGGGATGTACCTCGCCTCCAATGCCCTTCTCCCTCTCCGTCTCATCCTTGGAGTCCAAGTATAAGGCAGCGTTGAGCTTATACATGTTAACATCCGGGCGGTCCGCCTCAATGCGGAAACGGTTGCGCACATCTGCACAATCAGCTGCAGTGCGCAGATGGGTGAGTACCGAGCACGCATTGCGCGACTTGAGATTCGTCTCGCCGTCCAGATTCTTCGTCTCTACAAAAGCGACGTTCTCCTCCTCGCTCGTCGCGCATATAAGAACGTCCGCCGGTATTGGGTCGTTGTCCTTGATCTTGATGAAGTCACCAACTCGCACATCTTCCCAAATTGATGTGCGCCAATGCGGGCGGTAGTGGTGTTCGTGGTGTCCGAGAAAATGAAGACCATGCTCGCCATCCTCAGGCGCCTCATCGTCATACTCAACATCTGGATGGTCTGCCTGTACCTTGCCCACTGAATCAGTCCGAACGGGTTCCGCATCTGGAGCGGAGTTACTTGTGCCCTTGACGAGGTGGCCTTTCTTAGCTTTTTTGCTTTGTAGACGAGAGGGTATTATCCCGCGAACAAATGTACGGCTTTTCTTGGCCACAGAGTTCGGGTTAACCCATCCTGCGCCGTGGAGGACTCGGACCTGCGTATGATTTACGCGGCGGTCGGATTGGTGGCGTTTAACGTCCTCATAGCCGTCTTTAGCGGCGGTAATAGCGAGAACGACGAGTAGAGGAAAGATGACGAGGCCTGGGGAGATAGTGGAGAATGTCGGGAAAAATTGAAGTATAGCGATGCCGAGGAAGAAACTAAGGAAGAGAAGTTGTAAGTAAGTATACTTTGAACATCCTTTTTAATATAAGAACAGCGAGGGAAACCCTTCCGAGCGTCGTCACAGCCTCGTGTGCCGGTTCAACAAGACATCATACCAAGCACG